GTGGAAGAGAAAGAGCGAGAGATACTCCAATACCCCCCTTCTCGCTTCCTCCCTCCATCAACCGCTGGCTTACTGCCAAGCGGAGCTTTATAGGACGAGGCCCCGTGTTTGTTCTCTCTTTTAGAGTGGCGCGGCCCCCGACAGTGGCATTCCCCTGTGTGGGAACTCGGGCGCAATCTGCCCCGGACCAAGAGGAAGGGAGAGATAGGTGCACAGCTGCCCTGGTCCAATCAAAGTGAAAGTGTTGATGGACAGGTGGCGCAATCAGTCAGAGGTGTTTTAGTGCACTGTGACCCCATGTCAAGTATGTTAATGGTTGAAAGATGGTCCCTTGACTCCTGTGATTCTGATACACTCCATCTTTGTACACGCATTAGAACCTAGACGTCTCCTTTTTTAGACGAGTGGAGAGAGCGAGATGCGGTATGTTGTGTAAAAAATTGTTATTGTCGATATGCCTTATTGGATCTGACTGTTTTGAACTTTTGTTGAACAGTTTGACCATTCCTTGATTAAATTGATCATTAAGCCATTCTTTGTGGCTAAAATATATCTAAAATTATCTAAATATTTCAACATTAAAGTGTCAAAATTTTTATTAAATATTAGTTACATTTTATAGCAATATGAAAGTGTCCCAAATATTTTATCATTTAAAAAATGTACATTTAAATTTCAATTATATATATATATATGATGAGATGAATTATTAAATTTAAACTTAGGACACTTAGAAAAAGCATGACATTTTTTATTATATATGAAGAGTTCAGATGCAAAAGCCTTTAAATGCCATTTGAAATTTTCTTCTAAAATGACCATTTTTATCAAGCTTGTATATTTAAGTTCAGTAATTTCACTTAAATGACAATTAATAGGTAATCTTCATTGTTATTTAAGTGAAATTGCTGAACTTAAATATACAAGCTTGATAAAAATGATCATTTTAGAAGAAAATTTCAAATGGCACTTAGAGGCTTTTGCATCTGAACTCTTCATATGTATATACTATATACTATATATATATATATGCTCACACAATTTTTCATGCTTTTTAAAATAAGTGCACTTATTTTAAAAAGCATGAAAAATCATGTGTGTGTGTGTGTGTGTGTTTTTGTGTGTGTGTTTATATATATATATATATATATATATATATATATATATAAATGTCATGCTTTTTAATGTACTGTAAAAAAAATATTGTTGGTTTAACTTTAAAAAAGGTAACCTGGCTGCTTTAAAATTTTAAGTTCATTGAAATGGAAAAATTGAGTTAATACAATGAAAGAGATTGATTTAATCATCAGAAATTCAAAATATTATGTTATCTGAACTATATAAATTATTAAAGTTGATTTGACAAAAGAAAAAAAATGTTGTGATTACAAATCATAAAAATATTTTTTACAGTGCTCAAATTTAGGATAGCATTTATTTGATTCAAAATACAATAAAAAAACTGTAATATTGTGAAATATTATTGTAATTTAAATGACCTGATTTATTTTTCTAATATATTTTAAAGTATAATTTACACCTGTGATGCAAAGCTGAATATTCATAAACCATTCTAAAATGTTGATTTCTAACATTGTAAAAGTCTTTACTGTCACTTTTGATCAATATAATGCATGTTTGCTGAATAACAGCAATCACATATTTCAAACAACAGCAACAAAAGTCTTACCAACCCAAAACCTTTGAACGGCAGTGTTTGTATATATTCCAACACTGCATTTTTTCCAATAAAATGTTTGATATATTTTATGTAGTGTCCAAATATTTTTTGCATAGCGTGTTGTTAATACTATTTTAAAGGGCAAAACTAGCTCTTGGTCCTTTTTCAATACAACATTAAAATCCAGACATATAAATCATACACACAATCATGCACTAGACATATACACAGATATCAGACTGGGGAGAACAGAAAATAGAAAGTTTAGGTGCCTCACAGTGGCTGGCAGTGTTTTCTTAATGGGAAGTGTTCTGCATGCTGCAGCAGAAATGTTGATAAAGGCAATGGTGGGTTATTATTGCTGAGTTGGCAAGGGTTAGAGTGGATTACGATGCAGCGGGTGGATGAAAACAGAGTTAACGCCAGTTAAGGGCAGCAGTACGGATGGGAACGTTAGTGCTTGTGCATTTGGCCGCCAGTGTGTGAAGGCAGAAAGCACTGGCAGCTTCAGGAGTCAGGGAGGGACGGTATGGCTTTGCTTGGCTTGGAGAGCCGAAGAGCCAGCAACTGATCAAATCAATTTGGGTTTTGTTTTGGTAAATAGCAACTAGGATGATTCAGAGAATAAAGACATCTTGAACAAAAAAAAAAGACATCTCACAGGTTGACCAGCTTGACAAGAAAGGGATGCTGTGCTCTGGTCTGCGCCTTGGCACTCACACACAGTCCAGCTGGCTCTGACTCTCAGAGAGTGAATGTGCTGCCTGTTACAAACACACGGCTCTGGACACTGGCCTCTCTGACCCACAGCATCTGGAGCGTCTGCAGGGAGAACAGGAGCATGGCAGGGACATGTCTGATTCTTTTCTCTCATTCTTCTGGATCTGTTTGTGGAAACTTATGAGATTTAAATTACATGAAGGTGTGCTAATGTTTCTCTCATTAAAAAAAAATAATAAAAACATACACACAAAGAAGTGAATAGTCATTTTGTAAAATATGTGTAAAATGATGTACAGTCACATTTGTGTATTTATCTTACTTGGAGTATGGAGGCAGCCATTTTGAAATCACAAATTAGCAACTAATGTGATAATTGTGTGAAGAATGATTGATGACGGAACGTTGAATTAGAACAATAATGCACACCCGAGGTGGAAATGCGGTCATGACGCAAAGCTGAGTCAATTAATACTGTGGTTATCATGCCTCAAGACACTGTTCAAACATTTGTCAGGTTTTTGTACCTAAAATGCTCTTGTGTGCAGAACCGATTTCTTATCTCATCCCAAGCCTCCGTTGCCAATTCCAAAACGTCCTTTTAGAGCCAGTAACAGAAGACATTGATAAGCAGACTAATGTAGTTAATACAGAAGCAGAGAGATTGATTGATTAAAAGAGTGTGAATTACTTCTCTCAATCATCTTCGGCAGCAACGTAACAGCAAAGCTGTAAGTTTAAAGGAGTAGTTCACGTTTAAAAAAACTTTTGCTGATAATTTACTCACCCCTTGTCATCCAAGATGTCCATGTCTTTCTTTCTTCAGTCGAAAAGAAATTAAGGTTTTTGATGAAAACATTCCAGGATTTTCTCCATATAATGGACTTCAATGGGAACCAAACGGTTCAAGGTCCAAATGAGAGTTTCAGTGCAGCTTTAAACGACACCAGACGATGAATAAGGGTCTTACATAGGACCCTTCGAGTCATGACTCGAAAAAAGATTTGTTCATTTTGATGAACGAGTTTGAACAGAAGAGTCACGAACGCTCATCACAGAACAGAGCAAGGCGAGCATTTGTGCTTATAAAACTTAAACTTTTTTATTTATTTTTTAAATGGCCGATCGTATCGCTAGATAAGACCCTTATTCATCGTCTCGAGTCTACTGTGAGACACCAATGTGTCCCTGAGCAAGACACTTAACCCCTAGTTGCTCCAGAGGTGTGCGCCCTCTGACATTTATAGCAATTGTAAGTCACTTTGGATAAAATTGTAAGCTAAATGAATAAATGTAAATATAAAGTAAATTAGTAACCCCTCATTTTATTGGATTCCTAGGCCGTGTGTCCACCAAAGCGTTTTTAGCCAGGTGAAAACGCTAGACGCCGTGTTTTGAGCGCTTGAGAGCGTTTTGGGCATTTTTTAACTCTCGGCGACCAAAAAAAGTGTTTCTACAATGGCATTTGAGACGTAGCAGCATTGAGATGCTGCATCCACACCACTAGGTGTCAGTATACGTCCAAGAAGCCACCAAACAAAAAAACTACTGAGTGCATTTTGTTCGATTTTTTTGCAAGTCTGACTTCATTTAATGTTTTCTTTCATTTATTTATTTATTTATTTTTTTGTGTTTGTTTTTTTTTTTTTCGATCCTCAGACCCATTTCTTATAAAATCAGTCTACCTGCTCAGCTCTTGTGGAAATATATACCGTAGACTCAACACTCTCTAAAAATACTCCTCCGAGTTTTTGCCTTGGCTCAGAAGTGACACTGAATGTACACAGACATACAAGTATATATGCACATGCTTATGTACTTTCATTTTTTTTCATTTTGTCTACATGTACCGTCAACAGATCAAACCATCGGACATATTTTGGCGGGAGGCATGTTTATTCTTGTGTCTTTTTTCAGACCCCTAAGTTGTCTTATTGAGCTGCCCAGAAAAACATCTCTGAGAGAGAGAGAGCAGTCAGGTAAACATATTCCAAACACAGACGCGCTTTGAGCGTCTCTAGAGTCATAGACTCCAAGACCAGCCCTGGGTGAAAGCTTAAGTAGACCACACGGTTGAAGCAACAGTGCGTAGGCCGAAGGGGAAATGGGCAAATCGAGTCCTCAGGGGCCTCTCGCTGCCAGAACTGCACCGCGCTGGGCTCGGTCTTCAGATGAAGCTCTTAGACAGTGACGACAGATAGTGGAATAGTGTGTTTGGGTGTGTAAGAGGGTGTGTAGGTGTGTGGGTGAGAGGGTAAATGGGAGTGACAGGCTTAGTTTCGGACATTCATGTACGTCAAAATGTGGGCGAGCGGTCACATATAATCTTTTGGAAAAATGTAATCGCTCACTTGTCGACTCAAAAGACAGCCATGTTTCTGTCATGTTAACTGAAGTTCAAATGAATCAGAATTTTGGTTTATAGATAAAAATACTAAAAAAAAATGTAATGCAGTGTTCACATTCACATGACCCCCTCCCCCAGGTGCTGATCTTAGTAACAGGTTCCTTTGGTTTTCGTACAATGGACCAATGGAACATTTGAAACTTGCTAGTCATATTGCTAATAAATACCATTTCCCGCCATTTTTCTATGCAGAGACTGAAAGCTGCACTTGCCCACCATCCAGGGGGCATGGCGAACGGCAGCATGAACTCCATGGGTCATATGATGGAGATGATGCCATCGCGGCAGGATCAGGCCGGTCACCACCACCTGCACTCTCACCCTCACCAGCACATGCAGGGTCCGCCTCACGGATACCCACACCATGCCCACCACCACCACCCCAGCCACGCACAGAACGCCCATCACCACCCCCAGAACCACGGACACCACAACTCCCACCCGCCCCACCTGCACCCTGCACACGGACACCAGACCTCTCCGCACCAACCCATGCACTCCGCTGCTTCACAGGTACTGAACTGGGTTGAGATGCATTTGTTGAAGTTTTAATGCTATAATAAGTACAAGTACAAGTAATGTGGGGATTGAGTTCAGCTGAATTGAACTTGCTCGAATTTATTTGAGTTGAGTTGGGATGAACTGATTTCAGAGTCATGTCTAATAAATAATTATTTAAAAAAAGTTAAACTAGGGCCAAGTTGTGAACATCTGGCGTAAAATGAATATGTGTGGGGGTTTTTTTTGTTATAGATTTTATAAAAAAAATACTGTACATTAAAAATACCATTACTTGAATACACCATTATAAGTACTGTATGCTTATACTATTTATTTATAACTTCTGAGTGGTGCAATTGTCTTGATATCATACTTAAAAAAAGATTAAAGAAGTTTAGAATTTTTTAAATGTATTTATAAAAAATAATTATTTTTGTTATTAATATTTAGAATATATAAGCAAAAACTTTTATCTGCCAAGTAGAAGTCATGTGGTGCGACCAACATACATACTGTATCCGAAATCACATACTTCCCTAATTATATAGTAGGCAAAAAAAAAACAAAAAACAGTATGTGACAAAAGTAGTAGGCAAAAAGTACTTGGATGAGCTACTGCTTCCCAAGAGATTGTGCATATGATGGACACTTTACAATCCCATGAGGCCACGGGAGAGGATTTATGAGTGACAGTGAAGCGACTCAACTGACGCTGGTAGATCACATGATAAGATTTGCGTGTTTTGAGCAAATAATATTGTTATTTATCAATCAACATTTCATAATGTTTTAAAAAAGCAGTTTTATCTTGTAAAATGTATTTTTTTAAAAATCTAAAATATAATGTATTTAAAGGTGACATATTATGGCCCTTTTTTACAAGATGCAATATAAATCGATGGTGTCCCCAGAATGTGTCTGTGAAATTATTTGCTCAAAATGCCCCCGTGTCATTTATCAGATACCGTGTCATTAGTATCCAAAGCTTGTGTAAAGGATCGGCGGGGAGTGGCAGCTCATTTGTATGGAAGCTTGTTTCCGCCATTGAATAAAAAATATAATAAAGAATTGTGACTTTTTATCTTACAATTCTGACTTTTTTTCTCACAATTCTGACTTTTTTTCTCACAATTGCGAGTTTATATCTCACAATTCTGACTTTATTTCTCAGAATTGCATGATATAAAGTCGCAATTGCGAGTTATAAAGTCAGAATTGTGTGTTATAAAGTCAGAATTGCGAGATATAAAGTCAGAATTGCGAGATATAAAGTCAGAATTGTGTGATATAAAGTCGCAATTCTGAGAAAAAAAGACAGAAGTGTGACTTTTTTTCTCACAATTGCGAGTTTACATCTCGCAATTCTGACTTTATAACACATAATTGCGAGTTTATATGTCGAAATTCTGACATCTTTTCTCAGAATTGTGAGATATAAACTCGCAATTGCGACTTATTAGGCCAATTTTTTTTCCCCCATCAGAATAGTTTAAATCTCACAATTCTGACTTTATATCATGCAATTCTGACTTTATAACTCGCAATTGCGACTTTATATCACGCAATTCTGACTTTATAACTCGCTTTGCGACTTTATATCACGCAAATCTGACTTTATGTCTCGCAATTCTGACTTTATAACTCGCAATTGCGACTTTATATCACGCAATTCTGACTTTTTATCTCGCAATTCTGACTTTATAACTCGCAATTGCGACTTTATATCTCGCAATTCTGACTTTTTATCTCGCAATTGCGACTTTATATCACGCAATTCTGACTTTATATCTCGCAATTCTGACTTTATATCTCGCAATTCTGACTTTATAACTCGCAATTGCGACTTTATATCACGCAATTCTGACTTTTTATCTCGCAATTGTGAGAAAAAAAGTCCGAATTGTGAGATAAAAAGTCGCAATTATTTATTTTATTTTTTTATTCAGTGGCGGAAACAAGCTTCCATACATTTGCATTTAAAGCGACACACACAAAAATATGTGTGTGTCGCTTTAAATGCAACATAACATGTGTGTGTCCCATTTAAAGCGACACATATTTTTGTGTGTGTCGCTTTAAATGCAAATGAGCTGCTGCTCCCGCCTCCGTTCAGAAGACCCCCGATCCTTTACACAAGCTTCAGATACTCCGGCAATAACAAAAGACGCAAATCTCACTCATCTAAAATCTCATAAATAACCAGTAACAAAGTGCAGGAGAGACTCAGTTGCAACTTTTAGACGTACCTAGATCATTCTGATTAGAGGATACATTTATGTAATTGTGGAGTTACATTGATTCATCTCATCAACTTTCATGTACCATCATGTTTAACTTTTACACAAGTTACACAGTTCCCTGAGGTCTTTATTAGACAGCTGTGACATTTTTTGCTCAAATAGTGTTCTGTGCTCGTCTGTGCAGCAACACACAAACAGTTCACTTGCTTGCTTTTGTTGTTGCTTGTAAAAACCAAATGACGGCGCCGTGTCCCCTGGGTGGATACGTGCAGATTAAGGGGCGGTAATATTATAAAAAGGTCCCTTTTCTACATCAGAAAGGGAGAGAAATCTGATTGGCTTATTTTCTGACATGCTCGCAGGGAAAGGCTTACCAAAACAAAGTTACTGGGTTGTCACTTTTCACGTTTTCCGGGTTGGTAGATACACTGGGGACACGATTATAGCAGAAATAAACATAAATCAGATTGTCATGATATGTCCCATTTATTAATGTAATAATTCAAAACAGTATGTTGTGTTTACTTTTACCACATGACATTTTTGTTGAAAATGGTGTCAACGTTTTTTAAAAATTATATGAAATCAAGAGTACATTTCCATGAACATGAAACATGTGTTCAAACTAGATTTCTAAAAGAGTTTTTCCTTTATTTATCGTGGCCGTTCTTATTTATATGAGCCTTCAGGTCTGGACATGACCGAATCCATCTTTATTTTTTATTTTTTTTTGCGATTCAGAAAGTCTGCCTGAATGTATTATTAAGCCAAAGAAGGGGGCCTGTATACATACAAACCATCAAAGCCATTGCATTTTCCATCGCCTCCAGAAACCTGTAATGATCTGAAGACGGCAAACATGGCAACTGCCAAGCATATGTCAAAGAAGCTTTTTGTGGGCCATGTGCGCTGGTAGTGGCCCTGTTTCTCAGAGTGTCGTAGAGCATTGGTCCGAGTGGAAAACTAGGCCCTGACACCTCTTTATGAGGGTGGGGCGGCCTGTAAATCAGACTGCTGTTTCTCACACCCAGACGTCCATCATAAGGCCGTAGGGCCACGTGTACAGGGCACATGTTGTTTTAAAGCAAACTCCCAGACAGGACGTTTCTGGCTGGAGAGGTCTGAACGAGGAGAATGTTTGGCAGGTGATTGGCCGGCAGCCAGCTCTATGGATATGAATATGATGCCTCGGGAGAGAATGTAACTTCAGACTCCTTTTCTTTCTTTTTTTTTTTTACAGTTATCTCCGGCTGCGCAGCACATGCAGCCGACGCAGACCCTTCAGTCCCCGCCGCCCAGCGGAGGTCGTCGCAGGCGGGTCATGGATGAAGACCCAGACGAGCGCAGACGGAAGTTCCTTGAGAGGAATCGCGCAGCCGCCACACGCTGCAGACAGAAGAGGAAAGTGTGGGTGATGTCGCTAGAAAAGAAAGCAGAGGAGCTCACCCAAACCAACATGCAGTTGCAGGTCAGCATCACTCATTCGCACACTTCTCCTCAGCTGAAGGCCTCGGTTTTTAAGCGTTAAGGCGCACTTCGCTTTGGAACACACACCGAGATGTATTTCACGCCGGGCGTCATATTTCACTCGGTATTAGCTTACTCTAGACCACAGAAGCTCATAAACACCCTTCATGTGACAGCTGAAGCTACTGTAGATGGAGAGCAGACTGGGACGGCTGTGAGGAGGGAAGGGTCAATGGGTTATTGAGGTCTATAGAGTAACCAGAGCACAGCCAGCTGTGGCTGAATGTGTGGTTTGTAGGCCAGTAAAACCTCTGAGCATCACGGCACATTTCGAGGTTTCCATTTGAACGCGTCCATTTAGGCTCTCAATAGACCTTAGATCTGCATAGAGGTTCACCTGAAAGATTAATGCCATGTGGATATTCATGTAAGCCTATTTTGAGAGGATGTGTTGAGTGTATCCTGCACTGCCCACAACTTAAACCAGCCTAAACGGGTTTTCAGCATGCATGTTGTGGTTTAGTTGGCTGGCCAGACGGTCTCCCATGACACGTGTCCAAAGCCCCTCTAAAAGCTGGAAACCAGAACAGCCTGACCATCTTTGGGTGGTCTTTCTCCATCATGCCACATCATTCACTCTCTGCTCTTCTCTGACCTGAGCAGTAACCTGTCTTGGCCCGGGACAAAATAGGGAATATTTGTAGGTTGCACTTTTGTGTGGTTTGCGTCTTTCAATTTTAACCACTAGGCAACACATCTTATCAAAGGTTCCTACTAGGGATAGGTGATCTAAGAATACTTCTGATATGTAAAATATTTTGTTGACAATTTTGTGAATATTGCAAAGAGTTTTAATTACATGTTGCGATTCGTCTTGGTCTCTAGAAATGTTCACTGATATATTTACAGTAAAAGCGCCGTAAAGTACAGTAAAAACAGTAATGCTGACTTTTCAGCAATCATTACTTTTAAGATTTTTCAGGAAATGTTTTTTTTTATTATTATAAATGTAATTTTTTTATCAGTTTAATGTATCCTTGCTGAATGAATAAAAAAAAAAAAGAAGAAAACAGTAGTATGACATCTAGCAAAAATATGTAGGCAAATATTTCTGCTTGTTCAGCTGTACTGGTGCATATAAATGAAAATATAAAATCATATTCTGCCTTTTAATTAGTAAACAAATGTGAAAAAACATGTCTTTGTTACTATATATATATAGAATACTTAATTATAATTATAACAGTAATATAATTATAATATATAATATAATGTAACAGTAATATAATATAATGTAACAGTAATACAGTAATATATATATATATATATATATATATGAAGAGTTCAGATGCAAAAGCCTCTAAATGCCATTTGAAATTTTCTTCTTTAATGATGATTTTTATCAAACTTGTATATTTAAGTTCAGTAATTTCACTTAAATGGCAATGATAATTACCTATTAATTGTTATTTAAGTGAAATTACTGAACTTAAATATACAAGTTTGATAAAAATCATCATTAAAGATGAAAATTTCAAATGGCATTTAGAGGCTTTTGCATCTGAACTCTTCATATATATATATATATATATATATATATATATATATATATATATATTACTGTATTTTGCATCTTGCATTAAACAATACAAATTAAATTAGCTTAAATTTAAATGAAGGTTCCTCTGATTTAAAAAAAAAACATTTTTAATCCAAGCAAATACCTAAATATCAATAAATATATTTCATATAGTCAAAAGGCTAAAAAATATTAAAATATCATTTCACCCAGCCCTAGTTCCCACCAACAATAGAACAAAACATGTTAAATGTGTTTGTTTTTCTTTGCTATCGCATAGTTTGTCGAGGTGGGACAGAATGCTCATAGACACCCTGGCACTCCCACAGTCCCACTGTTCAGGCTTGTTTGGGAAATATTCACCCCACAGTCACAAACATGGTACCTGTCAAAGCGAGGATTCTTCTACACCAAGCATCCCTGAAACGCTGCCATGTATTCATATTACTTCTGCTAAATCGTTTAATCAAATTCAAGAACGCTGTGTGATCAGATGCTCGTGTTTCCCACAATGGTAATTGCAGAGAATTCATTATGAGGTTTTCTAATGAGACCCAGACTTGTCTGGCCTTTAATTCAGTGTGTCTGCTGGGAGGTTTGACGTGAAGTTGCCAATACATCCACCAGAGACCTTTTTCCAACATGTTTGTCATAATTATGTTAAGGATTGTATGGTTTACGACAAAAACAAAACATCACAAACATGTGTGCCTTTGTTTAGATTTGTTTGCATACTAAGGAAGGAAGCACAGGGGTTAGCTAGCTCTCACAAACGTGATTTCCCCAACATGGCTTGAATTTAATTTTAAACTACGAAGGCATTTCAACGGACAGTAATTCTTAAGCAGTCAAATCCAGGCCAGGCTGTATCCAGGAAACGTGCGCTTTGTGAAATATACATGTTTTTAATCTGTGAAATAATGAGGGACATTTAGTTTTGCTTGAACTTGGTGTTACTACACACCAGAAAACGGTTCTGTTTTATGTTTGTTGCCAATGTGTGTGATTGGATATTTCACTAGCAACAAGTTATTGAATTCCTGTAAACACTGAGGGACTTTTTGTGTGTGTTTGATATTATCATTGTGTTTGTTGGCAGAGCGAGGTCACCATGCTAAAGAATGAGGTGACACAACTGAAGCAGCTTTTATTGACACATAAGGACTGTCCCATCACCACCATGCAGAAAGAGTCTCAAGGTTACCTCAGTGAGTACTATCCCGCACACACACGCCCAGGGGTGACATTACGTTATAACAGATGTATATTGTTTGTAGGACACACCCACTGATATAGATACTTGTGACATTTTTGAAATGTATGGAGGCGGTCACTCCTTGATTATAGGGCAGGTGAAAACACACTCATTTCCTCAGTCACTAACAACCTGTTGTGGTGTTTATATAATGCAGGAAATAGATATATTGTTTCCATTTACACTTTGAAGTACAGTAAATGCCCTCAGGTAGTTTGCCCCGCCTGTCTTTCTAAACTTCCAAATTCATTAATAATACAAGATGTGAATATTTAAATATTCACCTAAGTGTGGTGTTTATTATCTTTACATTATTATTCAGTCTTCTCATGGGAAAGAAAATCACAAGTGAGATCTTTTTAATCTGTTTTATTTTTTAGACAGCAAATAGAAAGACATACAGATGGATGGATGGATGAATGGATGGATGAATGGATGGACAGATAGACATGGATGTATGGATGGAGACAGACAAATAGATGGATGGATGGATGGATGGATGGATGGACATGGATGGATGGATGGATGGATGGAGACAGACAAATAGATGTATGGATGAATGGATGGATGTATGGACATGGATGGATGGACATGGATGGATGGATAGATGGACAGATAGATGGATGGATTGATGGATGGACAGATAGACATGGATGTATGGATGGAGACAGACAAATAGATGGATGTATGGATGGATGGATGGATGGATGGATGGATGGATGGATGGATGGATGGATGGATGAATGGATGGATGGATGGACATGGATGGATGGATGGAGACAGACAAATAGATGGATGGATGAATGGTGGATGGACATGGATGGATGGATGGAGACAGACAAATAGATGGATGGATGGATGAATGGATGGATAGATGGACAGATTGATCGATGGATGGATGGACAGATAGACATGGATGTATGGATGGAGACAGACAAAAAGATGGATGGATGGACATGGATTGATGGATGGAGACAGACAAATAGATGGATGGATGGATGGATGGATGGATAGATGGACAGATAGATGGATGGATGGATGGACAGATAGACATGGATGTATGGATGGAGACAGACAAAAAGATGGATGGATGGACATGGATTGATGGATGGAGACAGACAAATAGATGGATGGATGGATGGATGGATGGATAGATGGACAGATAGATGGATGGATGGATGGACAGATTGACATGGATGCATGGATGGAGACAGACAAATGGATGGATGGATGGATGCATAGATGGACAGATAGATGAATGGATGGATGGATGGATGGACAGACATATGGGTGGAAAACACTTTTGTGTGGACTTTTTCTCTCGCAATTGTGAGAAATACAGTCTGAATTGCGAGATATAAACTCGCCATTAAACAAGGTAACTGTGACTTTTTATCTCATAATTTAGACTTAATTGCTTGCATTTGCGAGTTTATTATTTTCTCAGTCTTCTCATGGGAAAGAAAATCACAAGTGAGATCTCTTTAATCTGTTTTATTTTTTAGACAGCAAATAGAAAGAAAAATCACAAGTGAGATCTCTTTAATCTGTTTTATTTTTTAGACAGCAAATAGAAAGACATACAAATGGATGGATGGATGGATGGACGGATAGACATATGGATGTATGGATGGAGACAGACAAATAGATGGATGGATGGATGGATGGATGGATGGATGGATGGATAGATGGACAGATAGATGGATAGATGGATGTATGGATGGATGGACAAATAGACATATGGATGGATGGAGACAGATGGATGGATGGACAGATAGACATACGGGTGGATGGATGGACATACGGGTGGATGGATTGATGGATGGTCAGATAGATGATTAGATGGATGGATGGATGTAAGAATAAATGGATACATTAAGTGTTGGAGACGGATGAATGGATGGATGGATACATGGATAGACAGACATATGGATGGATGGAAAGATAGAAAATTCTACAGATGGATGGAAGGAAGGACAGATGGACAGCAATACAGATGGATAGATAGACATATGGATGGAACGATGAATGGATTGAGTGATGAACAGATGTGACTGGCAGACAGACGGATACGGACAGATGTCAGACAGCTGGACACACACACACACACACATCTTCATCTCTCCTCTTGTCCCTCAGGTCCAGAGAGCAGTCCGGCAGGGAGTCCCACCCCTGTAACCCAGCAGCAAGTCATCCAGCACAATACCATCACCACCTCCAGCACGGGACCCAATCACCGCACAGATATTAACCCCATCCACTAGAGACTCCACCCCCTGACGACACCCCATCCCCCCTTACACGCTGGACATCCCGACTCTGGACAGACACACACCTCTGTGCCTATTTGGCAGCTTTTTCGTCTGTAATTTGTAAATGTAAACTGATTACCATTTTGCTAAGTTCTGTTTGTTTTATGTTACCATTTGAGGAAAAAATGGGCACCATCTCGCTTGTCTCGGTTGTTGTGAAAACACAACTGCTACATTTGTTCCTGGATTACTACTGGACAACTGCCTTTACAAATTGCAAAATTCAGATAGCTGGAGAGCTTTTGCTAGGAATTTCCCATTGCCAAAAAGATCTTGTCCTTACGTTTCTGTTTATTGTTATAACAACTACTCTCACATTCCCCTTTTTTATCTAATTCAAAAGGATAAATTAGGAAGGCCAGTCTCCAACTGGGAATTCGCAACGAAAGTAACCTGAAGCAATATGAATCGTGTTCACTTGCTCATTCTGACCAGAATTTAGATACCTACAGTATTGGCTCCCTTCATTTCAGATGTCATTTCAAAAGTTATCTTTTTAAAACAAAACAGCTTTGACTCCTTCGCTGGTACAGATCATGTAAATGGAATGCATTTATCAAGCTCACACAGGCTCCTGTGAGCATATGCCCCGCTGAACGTGTGTGAGATTTCAGAGTATTTCCAAAGTGCTGAGATCACAGCTGCAATCATGTAGCACCAGGAAAACATCTATCTTGGCGTTTAAGTCCGAATGTTTTAGAAGATGCCATCAGCTGTTTCATTTTAAGCTGGTGCAACTTCTGGTCAGATTTACCCCTGGTCCTCATTAGTTTGCACACTTCTTTTACCGGCAGTCATTTCAGTATCTGTTTCGGATCAGAGAGTGGACTAAGTATTATGCACATTCTTGAGTACATTTTTATATACGTTATGTACTCATCAATGGGCCTTCCAACCCCGTCCTAAATGCTCCTCAAGTGCGTCTTGCACCAGAATAATGCCATGGAAAACTTTTGGAAGGATTTTGCTTCACCTGAGGCTATGGAAAACTTCCACGTGAGCCAAATGCGTTGTTAAACGCTACTTCAAATCAGCTTTCGTTTTGGCTCAAAACATTGTTTAGATCTTCCTCAGGCATTCTGACTGTGTGATCAATTTAATTTAATAGGATTTATTGTGATAGGAAATATTTTGATACATCCCAGTTTAAAGTTCTGGTTTGTTTGCTGCCTAGGAAATCATGAGGCTTCCTTCTTGACATGGACCAAGTTCAATTCTGCACTTGAGTATAGTCCCTGCGAAACTGTCAAACCTCCCTAAAGGTTCTGGAAATGTGCCGTTAAATTGGAGATGTTAGTATACAGCCAGCATCTTACTGTAAGGGGTCGTTCACAAAAGACAAACACGTTCTTGCGATTAAAACGCTGGATTAAGCGCGAAAGGCATGGAAATGCAGGTTTTTAAAGGGTTAGTTTACGCAAAAATGAAAATTAAGTAATTAATTACTCACCCCCATGCTGTACCAACCCCGTAAGACCTTCGTTCGTCTTCGGAACACAAATGAAGATATTTTTGATGAAATTTGAGAGGTGGATCACTCCTCCATAGACTCCTAAAGGATTGAAACTTGATGGCCCAGAAAGTTTAAATAATGTTTGAAAATGTTTAAATATTCCATGTGACAACAGTAAGTTTATCAAGCGACGAGAATACTTTTTGTGCGGAAATAAAACAAAAATAAAGACTTAGTTCAACTATTCCTTTTCTTCCTTCTGGGCCTGAGACCACCACGCATGCGCGAGAATTGCGCAACGTATTCTATTTTTGTTTTATTTCCGCACAAAAAGTATTCTTGTCGCTTGATAAACTTATAGTTGAGCCACTGTAGTCACATGGAATATTTAAACATTTTCTTCATTGACTTTCTAGGCAGTCAAGTTTCAAACCTTTAGGCAGCCTATGTAGCAGTGATCCACCTCTCAAAATTAATCAAAAATATCTTCATTTGTGTTCCGAAGATGAACGAAGGTCTTACGGGGTTGGTACAGCATGGGGGTGAGTAATTAATGGCTTAATTTTCATTTTTGGGTGAACTAACCCTTTAAGACGCATTTTTGAATGTTGAACTGCTTACAATTTGACGCGGCATCAATTATCTGTGTAGCAAATGTTTACATTGAAAAATAAAGGATGTGTCTCAATCAGCTCCCAAGTTTAGTAGTAGTCAGGGCCCTGATCACAGAGTCTGCCATTTTAAGGGCCACTTCCAGTGCACTGGAACGTTCACTCCATAAAAAAGCCCCCAACGCACCACAAAAACCAGGCAGCATCAATGGTGCCTTAAGCCCCTTTTCCACCAAAGCACTTTGAGAGCCGGTTCGGAGCCGGTGCCTGTGCCTGTGCGCGAACCAGTTCTTTATGTTTCGACAGCCAAAGAACCGGTTCTCGGCCAGGAGAACTGGTTCTAAAGCGGCACCAAATCTTTGCTGGACTAGAACCGTTCTTTTACCACGTCATGCTTACGTCGGGGTCTGGGGCGGGTTTAGATGTGTTCTAAACATCTTTTCTGACCATGATAAAGGATCGCAAAGCCAAGAGAAACATTTGCAGAAACACGATGGAGTCCGCCTTTGTAATTGTTATGCTTGAAGTTAACGCAAGCGTTTCTATTTTTGTAATTTTTTTTATTGAAGACATTATAAGCAAAGAAGAAAAGTCACAATATAGAACAAATAAATGGAAAGAAAAAAAGACACAATTACAGGGGTACATAACTTATCAGAAAAAATTACATATGAAACGAAAAGATTAAAAGACTGACATATTTCAATTATTTTTAAAGCTTTCTTGATATACGAGTTAGAGATAATCCCAAAGTAATGTTGTATTTGCAAGCGTTTCTAGCTAAGACGTATGGCGACGTACACAGTGACGTAACGACGTCGTTCCCTGGGCGCTCTAGTCAGTGGAAAAACAAATAGGTTCTGAAGCGGTTCGCAAGTTGAACCAACTCCGAACCAACTTTGAACCAGCACCAGTTCCGAACCAGTACTTTTTTTGGTGGAAAAGGGGTATTAGAAGATTCGGTGGTTTTAAAAGATATTAGTCTGGTGTTGTTGATAAATCACAGTGGTGGCGTTTTAAAATGCAAGTACGTTGTCGTCATGTTGCCGGAAACATCCCAATGTGTAGTGAGTCAGGGTTCTTAGCATTGCCCGAATTTGTCCAAACAACATACACTTATTAACAACCTAGGGAGCTGATTGCCCAGACAACAACATAGTGTACCAGACAGTACCAGTCGTGGGCCGACACTGTGTTGCTGTCTGGGTAAGATGCACCCAAATAAATGCTGCGCAGTGGAACGTGAAAACGCGTTCTGTGTGAACCGGCCCTACTAATGACATTCCAATGTGTGCTTGTGTCCTTTGTGTCATTTTAAGGGATCCCATATACCTCATGAGTGTATGATGGGCTGTGAGATGGCCCATTAGATCTTGGATGGAGAGATTTTCACTTACATGAAATCTTAAATCCCTTTAAGGCTGTCACACACCAAACTGGCAACAAAGAACTAGGGGCGAAAACAGCCGACATTGTTTTCGTCTTGCGTCTGCCGCTTGAACACACCGCGAAGACTACAACCAATGGCCAACTAGAATATACGTTCTGTCCATACCAGCAGTTGGCAGTCTGCTTTCGTCATTCAAAAAGGGAAATCGAAACTAGGACTGCTGGAATATAAACCGTAAACAAAGCGGCGCTTGATCACTTTCTTCATTCCAGACGGTCATGTTTTATAAAAATATTTGCATATTGGAATGCGAATTTACATGACTGTGTGTGCACTCTTGACTTTGTCAATTCTCGGGTACTGGTTCCATAAGCCGAACAGCCAATCGGAATGATCAATTTCACCGACTGCCCTACACAGATTCAACCTGCTCAATCGGCCAAAAATCTGCAGATGTGATCCAACTAAAAACTGAGCTGACAGATGTGTCGGCTTGGTATGTCACGGCCTTTAGTCCTGTTGTTCTTGTTTAAAGGGATACTCGACTTTTTTTGGAAATACGCTCATTTTACAACTCCCCCAGAGTTAAATTGTTGAGTTTTACCGTTTTTGAATCCATTCAGCTGATCTCCGGTTCTGGCGTTACCACTTTTAGCATAGCTTAGCATACATCATTGAAGTGCACAAGACCATTAGCATTTCTCCCAAAAAAATTACCAAAGTGTTTCGATATTTTTCCTATTTAAAACTTGACTCTTCTATAGTTACATCGTGCACTAAGACTGTTCTAGGCTGATATGCAGGGAACTATACTCTTATTCCTGCGTAATAATCAGGAAAATGTACTGTCGTACCATGAGTGCAGCAGGCGCGATGACTACACAAACTTAGTCCCGGTCACGTTGGAAGCTGGGCACTATTTTCAGGTGCTGCGTCATAACATTACGCCTGCTGCACTCAAGGTACGAAAGTGAAGTTTCCTGATTATTACGCAGGAATGAGAGTATAGTTCCTAGTCATATCAACTTTACATTTTCTGTCTGTCTTAGTGCACGATGTAACTATAGAAGAGTTAAGTTTTAAATAGGAAAAATATCAAAACACTTTGGTAATTTTTTGGGAGAAATGCTAATGGTCTTGTGCACCTCAATGATGTATGCTAAGCTATGCTAAAAGTGGTACCGCCAGAACCGGAGATCGGCTGAATGGATTCAAAAAAGGTAAAACTCAACAGTTTAACTCTGGGGGAGTTGTAAAATGAGCCTATTTCCAAAAAAAAAAAAAAAGAAGTGGAGTATCCCTTTAACTGCAAATAGTGATGCAATTTGGTCCACTTTTGTTTTTCTCTGCTGCGAAAATGTAGCATTTTACTATTTCTTCGCAGGTACTGATCTAGACCGATCTAGACACTGCTTTCCAAATGTCACTATGTGCCTGAAAATGTCTTAAATACTCACATAGCGAAGAATGTCAGCCCTTACATTTATTTTCAATTCAGGTTGAACTTTAAGGCCTTGATGTTGTGTAGCTTTTTTGTAATGACTAATTACTAGTGTTTTAATGCAGACACTGTTCTGTTTTTGGACGCTTTTTGGTGTTTATGGACTCTTTTACCTTCTTCAACCAAGGAGGCCTGTGATGAGGACACAGGCCAGCTGGACATGTATTAGCATCACGCGGAGAGATCCACCAAAATGTTTCCCCTCTGCCGAAAAAGGGCCTTTCTTCCAGCAGCTAAGCTCAGAACTCCTGTTTTTCACAGTTTGTAGAGGATGTTTCATCCCTTCTAAATGGAACATATTGATTCCCATCGCCTTTACTCGCAGCACTGTGTTTGGAACATGAGTGTGCAAAATGACCTCCACATTGAGAGGTGGAAATCTTGTAGCTGTCTATGCACTTTGACCTCTGCGCAGCAGAGGATGGAATAGCCATATAGAAGACTCAGCGATTCCCAGTTCCCACACCAGCGAGAGCCAGCCACTGTCAATCCATGGAGCAATGCAACTTGTGTGGGCCTACCGGAATGGAGCCCGGAATGGGTCGCCCAAAGAAGGACACGATTTAAACCCTGAAGGCTTGGGTTTGGCGGGCGTTCACAGTAAGGTGCTCCTGTAGCTTTAAGACTTTAAATTGTCCCTATAGAGAAAGCCTGTTTTTTCACACTGTGAAATGGGTGACATCAAGGTGAACTGGAAACATGATTGTGCTTTTATTGTTGATTTTGTTGGACCTTTTCGGTAGATTGGTTGATTCCCAACATCTCAAAAGGATAGTTCACCCAAAAATGAACATCATTCTCTCATCATTTACTCGTTTCAAAACTCGTATAATTAGGCTACCTTTATTTTGCACAACACGCTTGTTTTGTCAGTACAATAATAGTCAATGGGGTCCAACTGTTTCAAACTTTAAAAAGGACATAAAGGTAGTGTAAACGTAATCCTTTAGCGATATGAATACTTTGTATGATGTGACATTAAAGTGCTTATTCACTTTCAAATCAAATCAATACATTGATCAATTCATATACTGTACAGAGCCCAAAACAATATATTGTGACGCGTCAGTAACATCAAACCTCATTGGTTCTTGTGTCATGACATTATGTGGCTCACAAGAACCAATGAGGTTTGATGTTACTGACATTTAACATATTTAATACATTATTTGATATTTACTACCTTTATGACCTTTTTAAAGCTTTAAAACTTTTGGACCCCATTGACTTTCATAGACAAAAACCATTGAGACATTCTATCTTTTGTCTTCTGCAGATAAAAGTAATTCCGTCTGGAACAGCACAAGCGTGTGTAATGGTGCGGCCACAGTTTTTTGCTGGCTAAATTGTTATTTCAAATTGTGTTCTGGAAACCTCCAACACTGATTTTGATTTTGCAACACAAAGCCGCTTGGATTGAAATTGTCAATAGCCTAGAGATGT